TTTTTTTTTTGAGAGGGGGAAAGGGTGCTTTAAAGTACTTGTGTGGAGACGAAGGAAGAATTCTGGCGTTTTTTGGTGATGAGCAAAGCAAACATGCTTTATTTGGTTTTCGCTTATACAGGATGTTCGCTTACAGGGGATGATAATTAGGACTGATGAAAACAGATGGTCTCGAAATGACGAACGTATCTGTTACGAATCTTTGCTTGTTAGTGGAGGCGTGACTGATTTTGTTTCGTACTGCGCTGTTGCATATTTTACCAAGTCCGGCGTCTTCACTGCGTAAAGTTTTGACCGCTTGGTGAACTTATAGAACCCCTATTTTCTGTCTTTTCTTACTTTTAGTCCAAAGAACTTACCCGCAAAAATCTTTTACTAGCACCCAGCCGTTAGTTGTTCACAGTTTCCGCGTTGAAGTTTTTGGCGGGTAAGCTGCTAACTCGGAAACTAGAGGAGCTAGAAATCTGAAATTTTAAGGGGTTGTTCATCGTCCTGGCAGGACCTAGTAAATTCAAACCCAGCTCCCGGGTGTGCGTGGCTTCTACGTGCTAGCCCGTCAGAGTTTTTGGCGGGTAAGCTGCTAACTTGGGAACCAGAGAAGCTAGATAGTTGAAATTTTTAAGGGATGTTTTTTGACAGTTCTGGTGACTAGTCTCAGTTCTTTTGGCTAGAAACATCTCTCGGAAAAAACAATACCGTTAGCGATAAAAACCTCTGGAAATCTATGCAAAAAAACGCATTTTCGCGCCGGCTGTCGGTGCAATGGCCTATTATTATTTAATGTTCAGATTTCTCATTGTTTTTTTATTATTTTCAGCGTGTTAGCAAATCTGGATACGAAGATTTTCTTTCACTTCTTCATTTTCAGGGTTTACGCTATATGGATTTGTTTGACGAAGTGGAACGAGAAGCACTGCTTGCTGGAAAACCGCTTAATGATCCGATGTCATTTATGCGAGATATGGCTCCATGTATCGACCGTGGCAGAGGTAGCATTTGTGCATTTATCTGGCTATTTTATTTTTTTGGGCAAATACATTTGATTCTATTCATTTTGCTAAAAAAAGGAGTGGCTTGCATGCGTTTGCAGTCTGAAAAGTGCCGAACTTCCAGCAATTAAGAAAGAAACGATGTGTGGCATTACTTAAGCGTTTACAGCTCATTTAGTATCAACCCCAGATCTCAGTTTATGAGTGCAGCTGTTTCGTGTAACCGGCTACTGTTTTTTTATTGCACTGTTTGTTTTTCTTAAATTTGTAGAAGAAGCGGATGCGATGCTGAAAGTCGATGTGCGTTCGATTCTGTTCATTCGAGCTGCTACTGCCTACAGAATGTTAGCTGATAATTCATTTAGCTTGGTCAGATACGGTCGGGTGCTTCGTTTTGCGCGTGTCGGACTTTACTGTTGTCGTAAGTTTTCTGTCACGCATTTCTCACAACATGTAATAGGAAACCAAGCATTATCGAACTACAGAATAATAGGAGCGGCAAGTGGTTGTTTTCAAGTTTCCCAGATTGGTGGAGCATTACTTAGCTCATGTATCGGACATGTAATAATTAGTTGCAGCTTTTTCCTGCCCTGACAGGAAGTTTTCTATCTCTTTCTCCAGTCTGACTCGGATATAGTTTTTGAGGATTTGCTGTGGCTTTGGACGAGTGACGATTATTTTTCGTTCCACCCACTGCATCTATGGCAAATTTGCTTAGGCCATAGCAATGTCTTCTGCATTTATGCTGACCACTTCTGCTCGCTTCCAGAACAGTTTAAAGAAGACGACAACACTGCCATTTCTGTCAGCTGATAGCCGCTGCTCATTAAAGGGCAGCCACTGATGCGTGAAGGCTTTCGTAACTAGAACTTCTTGCTGTAACTTCACAGTGTTGCCATTTTGTAACGTTGTAGCTTCGAAAATCAGCAATTTTAAATAGGTGCACTGAAAAAACAGTGATGCTGTTGGGACTGCTAGCATGCTGGATTGGTATGCACCCTACACGCCAGTCCGTTTTCGCTTGGACCACGTACTTCTGCTGCCTTGCGCATTAATTAATGCGTCATTTGTTTTGTTTGTTAATTTATAGACGTTTTTTAGTGGCAGTGTTATCTCTGAACGCAGGCATGACCGCAGGTCATGCTCAACGAAATTTGGCTACAGCACGAGCGTTGATTCCTTCAATGATGTGTCATATTGCGGAGGCTGTCGGAAATATTGCGTGCAGTCCTTTGCCGATAAAAGACGTAGCCAAGGTGAATTCTTGTGAATTACTTTGCAATTTTGCCCAGTCTTGCTTGGGCAATGAATGCGAATTCCCAGTAAGAAACATTTACAAAAGCTTCCTTTCGTAGTCACTCACTTATTAGGAGTCGTTGGCGCGCCATTTGCACATCGTTCTGGGTGGATTTTGTTCCCCGGGAGCGTGGTTTAATTATTTTTTTTTCGATTCGTCTTGATGGGCTTCTTTGTTTTCTTTTCTGCATTTGATTGTTTTCAGTCGGATTTGAAACGATGCTATCGTGACAAGCAAATTAAAGCTCAGGCACTAGCTTTTATAAAATATGAACAAGGTGACTTTTGATTTTCTATTATATGTGTGAACTTTGGCTTACCACGAGTGAGTATTTCTGGATGTAGATTTCATTTGCGGTGTTTTGCTTGTCGATCCTAAACTTTCTTAGTGAGTAAAAAAAAAAA